CCGTTGAAGTTGCACCACATTATTTATTTATTGCTCGAATACATTACATAATTTATGCAGATACAAATGACAAGATCCTGGCATTATTTATGAGGCTCTATCTGCGCTAATAAATGACAATACCATATTCGGCAGCCCTGCTCGCGGTACATGTGGATTTTTGCGTTATCTAGGATAACAATGGACCTGAAAAACAAAATGAAAACTATAGCGAGTCGCAGCATCTAACCACTGCTTGCAAGTACCTCGGGAGCGGCCATGGATTAATGTACGGAGCATTTTTTTGTTCTGAAAGCCTCGTGAAAAGCTAAACGATCAAAGGTTCCTGTAGTAGACTCCCACGCGAAAAAGGCGCCCACGTCAAAAGCGGCTAAGACCGATCGTCTTTCACCTCTAGTAAACGGCAGGCTAACTATTGCCGGCAGGGCAGCCGAAAAATAAATTGACGCTCAAGTAATTGTTATAAATATTATTGCATAATTTATGAGCGGTGGCTTAGACCGTACCATTATTTATGATACCAGATTACTATTCCACACTCATAATTTATGATACTATCTCACGAACGGTGCGGAAGACGGCGGCGAGGATCCAGAGGGCTCGTTTGTCCAGCGTCTCGAGAAGCGTCGCCGGCTCGAGGCGCGAACGCCCCGCTACGACCTCATCTCCAGCATCCCGCCGACCTCGAACAAGGTCGAGCGGTTTTCAGCGTGGCGCGTACCACGTTTGCTCAAGAGCGCAACAGTCTCCAGTCCGCTACGCTGGAAACAATTTTGTTTCTGCGTGAGAATGGTGACTTCTGGGACGTTTCGACAGTCGATAGCGTCAATTAGTGTGAGTAACAGTACGTCTAATACCCCGTTGAAGTTGCACCACATTATTTATTTATTGCTCGAATACATTACATAATTTATGCAGATACAAATGACAAGATCCTGGCATTATTTATGAGGCTCTATCTGCGCTAATAAATGACAATACCATATTCGGCAGCCCTGCTCGCGGTACATGTGGATTTTTGCGTTATCTAGGATAACAATGGACCTGAAAAACAAAATGAAAACTATAGCGAGTCGCAGCATCTAACCACTGCTTGCAAGTACCTCGGGAGCGGCCATGGATTAATGTACGGAGCATTTTTTTGTTCTGAAAGCCTCGTGAAAAGCTAAACGATCAAAGGTTCCTGTAGTAGACTCCCACGCGAAAAGGCGCCCACGTCAAAAGCGGCTAAGACCGATCGTCTTTCACCTCTAGTAAACGGCAGGCTAACTATTGCCGGCAGGGCAGCCGAAAAATAAATTGACGCTCAAGTAATTGTTATAAATATTATTGCATAATTTATGAGCGGTGGCTTAGACCGTACCATTATTTATGATACCAGATTACTATTCCACACTCATAATTTATGATACTATCTCACGAACGGTGCGGAAGACGGCGGCGAGAATCCAGAGGGCTCGTTTGTCCAGCGTCTCGAGAAGCGTCGCCGGCTCGAGGCGCGAACGCCCCGCTACGACCTCATCTCCAGCATCCCGCCGACCTCGAACAAGGTCGAGCGGTTTTCAGCGTGGCGCGTACCACGTTTGCTCAAGAGCGCAACAGTCTCCAGTCCGCTACGCTGGAAACAATTTTGTTTCTGCGTGAGAATGGTGACTTCTGGGACGTTTCGACAGTCGATAGCGTCAATTAGTGTGAGTAACAGTACGTCTAATACCCGTTGAAGTTGCACCACATTATTTATTTATTGCTCGAATACATTACATAATTTATGCAGATACAAATGACAAGATCCTGGCATTATTTATGAGGCTCTATCTGCGCTAATAAATGAAAATACCATATTCGGCAGCCCTGCTCGCGGTACATGTGGATTTTTGCGTTATCTAGGATAACAATGGACCTGAAAAACAAAATGAAAACTATAGCGAGTCACAGCATCGAACCACTGCTTGCAAGTACCTCGGGAGCGGCCATGGATTAATGTACGGAGCATTTTTTGTTCTGAAAGCCTCGTGAAAAGCTAAACGATCAAAGGTTCCTGTAGTAGACTCCCACGCGAAAAAGGCGCCCACGTCAAAAGCGGCTAAGACCGATCGTCTTTCACCTCTAGTAAACGACAGGCTAACTATTGCCGGCAGGGCAGCCGAAAAATAAATTGACGCTCAAGTAATTGTTATAAATATTATTGCATAATTTATGAGCGGTGGCTTAGACCGTACCATTATTTATGATACCAGATTACTATTCCACACTCATAATTTATGATACTATCTCACGAACGGTGCGGAAGACGGCGGCGAGGATCCAGAGGGCTCGTTTGTCCAGCGTCTCGAGAAGCGTCGCCGGCTCGAGGCGCGAACGCCCCGCTACGACCTCATCTCCAGCATCCCGCCGACCTCGAACAAGGTCGAGCGGTTTTCAGCGTGGCGCGTACCACGTTTGCTCAAGAGCGCAACAGTCTCCAGTCCGCTACGCTGGAAACAATTTTGTTTCTGCGTGAGAATGGTGACTTCTGGGACGTTTCGACAGTCGATAGCGTCAATTAGTGTGAGTAACAGTACGTCTAATACCCGTTGAAGTTGCACCACATTATTTATTTATTGCTCGAATACATTACATAATTTATGCAGATACAAATGACAAGATCCTGGCATTATTTATGAGGCTCTATCTGCGCTAATAAATGAAAATACCATATTCGGCAGCCCTGCTCGCGGTACATGTGGATTTTTGCGTTATCTAGGATAACAATGGACCTGAAAAACAAAATGAAAACTATAGCGAGTCACAGCATCGAACCACTGCTTGCAAGTACCTCGGGAGCGGCCATGGATTAATGTACGGAGCATTTTTTGTTCTGAAAGCCTCGTGAAAAGCTAAACGATCAAAGGTTCCTGTAGTAGACTCCCACGCGAAAAAGGCGCCCACGTCAAAAGCGGCTAAGACCGATCGTCTTTCACCTCTAGTAAACGACAGGCTAACTATTGCCGGCAGGGCAGCCGAAAAATAAATTGACGCTCAAGTAATTGTTATAAATATTATTGCATAATTTATGAGCGGTGGCCTAGACCGTACCATTATTTATGATACCAGATTACTATTCCATACTCATAATTTATGATACTATCTCACGAACGGTGCGGAAGACGGCGGCGAGGATCCAGAGGGCTCGTTTGTCCAGCGTCTCGAGAAGCGTCGCCGGCTCGAGGCGCGAACGCCCCGCTACGACCTCATCTCCAGCATCCCGCCGACCTCGAACAAGGTCGAGCGGTTTTCAGCGTGGCGCGTACCACGTTTGCTCAAGAGCGCAACAGTCTCCAGTCCGCTACGCTGGAAACAATTTTGTTTCTGCGTGAGAATGGTGACTTCTGGGACGTTTCGACAGTCGATAGCGTCAATTAGTGTGAGTAACAGTACGTCTAATACCCGTTGAAGTTGCACCACATTATTTATTTATTGCTCGAATACATTACATAATTTATGCAGATACAAATGACAAGATCCTGGCATTATTTATGAGGCTCTATCTGCGCTAATAAATGAAAATACCATATTCGGCAGCCCTGCTCGCGGTACATGTGGATTTTTGCGTTATCTAGGATAACAATGGACCTGAAAAACAAAATGAAAACTATAGCGAGTCACAGCATCGAACCACTGCTTGCAAGTACCTCGGGAGCGGCCATGGATTAATGTACGGAGCATTTTTTGTTCTGAAAGCCTCGTGAAAAGCTAAACGATCAAAGGTTCCTGTAGTAGACTCCCACGCGAAAAAGGCGCCCACGTCAAAAGCGGCTAAGACCGATCGTCTTTCACCTCTAGTAAACGACAGGCTAACTATTGCCGGCAGGGCAGCCGAAAAATAAATTGACGCTCAAGTAATTGTTATAAATATTATTGCATAATTTATGAGCGGTGGCTTAGACCGTACCATTATTTATGATACCAGATTACTATTCCACACTCATAATTTATGATACTATCTCACGAACGGTGCGGAAGACGGCGGCGAGGATCCAGAGGGCTCGTTTGTCCAGCGTCTCGAGAAGCGTCGCCGGCTCGAGGCGCGAACGCCCCGCTACGACCTCATCTCCAGCATCCCGCCGACCTCGAACAAGGTCGAGCGGTTTTCAGCGTGGCGCGTACCACGTTTGCTCAAGAGCGCAACAGTCTCCAGTCCGCTACGCTGGAAACAATTTTGTTTCTGCGTGAGAATGGTGACTTCTGGGACGTTTCGACAGTCGATAGCGTCAATTAGTGTGAGTAACAGTACGTCTAATACCCGTTGAAGTTGCACCACATTATTTATTTATTGCTCGAATACATTACATAATTTATGCAGATACAAATGACAAGATCCTGGCATTATTTATGAGGCTCTATCTGCGCTAATAAATGAAAATACCATATTCGGCAGCCCTGCTCGCGGTACATGTGGATTTTTGCGTTATCTAGGATAACAATGGACCTGAAAAACAAAATGAAAACTATAGCGAGTCACAGCATCGAACCACTGCTTGCAAGTACCTCGGGAGCGGCCATGGATTAATGTACGGAGCATTTTTTGTTCTGAAAGCCTCGTGAAAAGCTAAACGATCAAAGGTTCCTGTAGTAGACTCCCACGCGAAAAAGGCGCCCACGTCAAAAGCGGCTAAGACCGATCGTCTTTCACCTCTAGTAAACGACAGGCTAACTATTGCCGGCAGGGCAGCCGAAAAATAAATTGACGCTCAAGTAATTGTTATAAATATTATTGCATAATTTATGAGCGGTGGCTTAGACCGTACCATTATTTATGATACCAGATTACTATTCCACACTCATAATTTATGATACTATCTCACGAACGGTGCGGAAGACGGCGGCGAGAATCCAGAGGGCTCGTTTGTCCAGCGTCTCGAGAAGCGTCGCCGGCTCGAGGCGCGAACGCCCCGCTACGACCTCATCTCCAGCATCCCGCCGACCTCGAACAAGGTCGAGCGGTTTTCAGCGTGGCGCGTACCACGTTTGCTCAAGAGCGCAACAGTCTCCAGTCCGCTACGCTGGAAACAATTTTGTTTCTGCGTGAGAATGGTGACTTCTGGGACGTTTCGACAGTCGATAGCGTCAATTAGTGTGAGTAACAGTACGTCTAATACCCGTTGAAGTTGCACCACATTATTTATTTATTGCTCGAATACATTACATAATTTATGCAGATACAAATGACAAGATCCTGGCATTATTTATGAGGCTCTATCTGCGCTAATAAATGACAATACCATATTCGGCAGCCCTGCTCGCGGTACATGTGGATTTTTGCGTTATCTAGGATAACAATGGACCTGAAAAACAAAATGAAAACTATAGCGAGTCGCAGCATCTAACCACTGCTTGCAAGTACCTCGGGAGCGGCCATGGATTAATGTACGGAGCATTTTTTGTTCTGAAAGCCTCGTGAAAAGCTAAACGATCAAAGGTTCCTGTAGTAGACTCCCACGCGAAAAAGGCGCCCACGTCAAAAGCGGCTAAGACCGATCGTCTTTCACCTCTAGTAAACGGCAGGCTAACTATTGCCGGCAGGGCAGCCGAAAAATAAATTGACGCTCAAGTAATTGTTATAAATATTATTGCATAATTTATGAGCGGTGGCTTAGACCGTACCATTATTTATGATACCAGATTACTATTCCACACTCATAATTTATGATACTATCTCACGAACGGTGCGGAAGACGGCGGCGAGGATCCAGAGGGCTCGTTTGTCCAGCGTCTCGAGAAGCGTCGCCGGCTCGAGGCGCGAACGCCCCGCTACGACCTCATCTCCAGCATCCCGCCGACCTCGAACAAGGTCGAGCGGTTTTCAGCGTGGCGCGTACCACGTTTGCTCAAGAGCGCAACAGTCTCCAGTCCGCTACGCTGGAAACAATTTTGTTTCTGCGTGAGAATGGTGACTTCTGGGACGTTTCGACAGTCGATAGCGTCAATTAGTGTGAGTAACAGTACGTCTAATACCCGTTGAAGTTGCACCACATTATTTATTTATTGCTCGAATACATTACATAATTTATGCAGATACAAATGACAAGATCCTGGCATTATTTATGAGGCTCTATCTGCGCTAATAAATGACAATACATATTCGGCAGCCCTGCTCGCGGTACATGTGGATTTTTGCGTTATCTAGGATAACAATGGACCTGAAAAACAAAATGAAAACTATAGCGAGTCGCAGCATCGAACCACTGCTTGCAAGTACCTCGGGAGCGGCCATGGATTAATGTACGGAGCATTTTTTTGTTCTGAAAGCCTCGTGAAAAGCTAAACGATCAAAGGTTCCTGTAGTAGACTCCCACGCGAAAAAGGCGCCCACGTCAAAAGCGGCTAAGACCGATCGTCTTTCACCTCTAGTAAACGGCAGGCTAACTATTGCCGGCAGGGCAGCCGAAAAATAAATTGACGCTCAAGTAATTGTTATAAATATTATTGCATAATTTATGAGCGGTGGCTTAGACCGTACCATTATTTATGATACCAGATTACTATTCCACACTCATAATTTATGATACTATCTCACGAACGGTGCGGAAGACGGCGGCGAGGATCCAGAGGGCTCGTTTGTCCAGCGTCTCGAGAAGCGTCGCCGGCTCGAGGCGCGAACGCCCCGCTACGACCTCATCTCCAGCATCCCGCCGACCTCGAACAAGGTCGAGCAGTTTTCAGCGTGGCGCGTACCACGTTTGCTCAAGAGCGCAACAGTCTCCAGTCCGCTACGCTGGAAACAATTTTGTTTCTGCGTGAGAATGGTGACTTCTGGGACGTTTCGACAGTCGATAGCGTCAATTAGTGTGAGTAACAGTACGTCTAATACCCGTTGAAGTTGCACCACATTATTTATTTATTGCTCGAATACATTACATAATTTATGCAGATACAAATGACAAGATCCTGGCATTATTTATGAGGCTCTATCTGCGCTAATAAATGACAATACCATATTCGGCAGCCCTGCTCGCGGTACATGTGGATTTTTGCGTTATCTAGGATAACAATGGACCTGAAAAACAAAATGAAAACTATAGCGAGTCACAGCATCGAACCACTGCTTGCAAGTACCTCGGGAGCGGCCATGGATTAATGTACGGAGCATTTTTTGTTCTGAAAGCCTCGTGAAAAGCTAAACGATCAAAGGTTCCTGTAGTAGACTCCCACGCGAAAAAGACGCCCACGTCAAAAGCGGCTAAGACCGATCGTCTTTCACCTCTAGTAAACGGCAGGCTAACTATTGCCGGCAGGGCAGCCGAAAAATAAATTGACGCTCAAGTAATTGTTATAAATATTATTGCATAATTTATGAGCGGTGGCTTAGACCGTACCATTATTTATGATACCAGATTACTATTCCACACTCATAATTTATGATACTATCTCACGAACGGTGCGGAAGACGGCGGCGAGGATCCAGAGGGCTCGTTTGTCCAGCGTCTCGAGAAGCGTCGCCGGCTCGAGGCGCGAACGCCCCGCTACGACCTCATCTCCAGCATCCCGCCGACCTCGAACAAGGTCGAGCGGTTTTCAGCGTGGCGCGTACCACGTTTGCTCAAGAGCGCAACAGTCTCCAGTCCGCTACGCTGGAAACAATTTTGTTTCTGCGTGAGAATGGTGACTTCTGGGACGTTTCGACAGTCGATAGCGTCAATTAGTGTGAGTAACAGTACGTCTAATACCCCGTTGAAGTTGCACCACATTATTTATTTATTGCTCGAATACATTACATAATTTATGCAGATACAAATGACAAGATCCTGGCATTATTTATGAGGCTCTATCTGCGCTAATAAATGACAATACATATTCGGCAGCCCTGCTCGCGGTACATGTGGATTTTTGCGTTATCTAGGATAACAATGGACCTGAAAAACAAAATGAAAACTATAGCGAGTCGCAGCATCGAACCACTGCTTGCAAGTACCTCGGGAGCGGCCATGGATTAATGTACGGAGCATTTTTTTGTTCTGAAAGCCTCGTGAAAAGCTAAACGATCAAAGGTTCCTGTAGTAGACTCCCACGCGAAAAAGGCGCCCACGTCAAAAGCGGCTAAGACCGATCGTCTTTCACCTCTAGTAAACGGCAGGCTAACTATTGCCGGCAGGGCAGCCGAAAAATAAATTGACGCTCAAGTAATTGTTATAAATATTATTGCATAATTTATGAGCGGTGGCTTAGACCGTACCATTATTTATGATACCAGATTACTATTCCACACTCATAATTTATGATACTATCTCACGAACGGTGCGGAAGACGGCGGCGAGGATCCAGAGGGCTCGTTTGTCCAGCGTCTCGAGAAGCGTCGCCGGCTCGAGGCGCGAACGCCCCGCTACGACCTCATCTCCAGCATCCCGCCGACCTCGAACAAGGTCGAGCGGTTTTCAGCGTGGCGCGTACCACGTTTGCTCAAGAGCGCAACAGTCTCCAGTCCGCTACGCTGGAAACAATTTTGTTTCTGCGTGAGAATGGTGACTTCTGGGACGTTTCGACAGTCGATAGCGTCAATTAGTGTGAGTAACAGTACGTCTAATACCCCGTTGAAGTTGCACCACATTATTTATTTATTGCTCGAATACATTACATAATTTATGCAGATACAAATGACAAGATCCTGGCATTATTTATGAGGCTCTATCTGCGCTAATAAATGACAATACCATATTCGGCAGCCCTGCTCGCGGTACATGTGGATTTTTGCGTTATCTAGGATAACAATGGACCTGAAAAACAAAATGAAAACTATAGCGAGTCACAGCATCTAACCACTGCTTGCAAGTACCTCGGGAGCGGCCATGGATTAATGTACGGAGCATTTTTTTGTTCTGAAAGCCTCGTGAAAAGCTAAACGATCAAAGGTTCCTGTAGTAGACTCCCACGCGAAAAAGGCGCCCACGTCAAAAGCGGCTAAGACCGATCGTCTTTCACCTCTAGTAAACGGCAGGCTAACTATTGCCGGCAGGGCAGCCGAAAAATAAATTGACGCTCAAGTAATTGTTATAAATATTATTGCATAATTTATGAGCGGTGGCTTAGACCGTACCATTATTTATGATACCAGATTACTATTCCACACTCATAATTTATGATACTATCTCACGAACGGTGCGGAAGACGGCGGCGAGGATCCAGAGGGCTCGTTTGTCCAGCGTCTCGAGAAGCGTCGCCGGCTCGAGGCGCGAACGCCCCGCTACGACCTCATCTCCAGCATCCCGCCGACCTCGAACAAGGTCGAGCGGTTTTCAGCGTGGCGCGTACCACGTTTGCTCAAGAGCGCAACAGTCTCCAGTCCGCTACGCTGGAAACAATTTTGTTTCTGCGTGAGAATGGTGACTTCTGGGACGTTTCGACAGTCGATAGCGTCAATTAGTGTGAGTAACAGTACGTCTAATACCCGTTGAAGTTGCACCACATTATTTATTTATTGCTCGAATACATTACATAATTTATGCAGATACAAATGACAAGATCCTGGCATTATTTATGAGGCTCTATCTGCGCTAATAAATGACAATACCATATTCGGCAGCCCTGCTCGCGGTACATGTGGATTTTTGCGTTATCTAGGATAACAATGGACCTGAAAAACAAAATGAAAACTATAGCGAGTCGCAGCATCGAACCACTGCTTGCAAGTACCTCGGGAGCGGCCATGGATTAATGTACGGAGCATTTTTTTGTTCTGAAAGCCTCGTGAAAAGCTAAACGATCAAAGGTTCCTGTAGTAGACTCCCACGCGAAAAAGGCGCCCACGTCAAAAGCGGCTAAGACCGATCGTCTTTCACCTCTAGTAAACGGCAGGCTAACTATTGCCGGCAGGGCAGCCGAAAAATAAATTGACGCTCAAGTAATTGTTATAAATATTATTGCATAATTTATGAGCGGTGGCTTAGACCGTACCATTATTTATGATACCAGATTACTATTCCACACTCATAATTTATGATACTATCTCACGAACGGTGCGGAAGACGGCGGCGAGGATCCAGAGGGCTCGTTTGTCCAGCGTCTCGAGAAGCGTCGCCGGCTCGAGGCGCGAACGCCCCGCTACGACCTCATCTCCAGCATCCCGCCGACCTCGAACAAGGTCGAGCGGTTTTCAGCGTGGCGCGTACCACGTTTGCTCAAGAGCGCAACAGTCTCCAGTCCGCTACGCTGGAAACAATTTTGTTTCTGCGTGAGAATGGTGACTTCTGGGACGTTTCGACAGTCGATAGCGTCAATTAGTGTGAGTAACAGTACGTCTAATACCCCGTTGAAGTTGCACCACATTATTTATTTATTGCTCGAATACATTACATAATTTATGCAGATACAAATGACAAGATCCTGGCATTATTTATGAGGCTCTATCTGCGCTAATAAATGACAATACATATTCGGCAGCCCTGCTCGCGGTACATGTGGATTTTTGCGTTATCTAGGATAACAATGGACCTGAAAAACAAAATGAAAACTATAGCGAGTCACAGCATCTAACCACTGCTTGCAAGTACCTCGGGAGCGGCCATGGATTAATGTACGGAGCATTTTTTTGTTCTGAAAGCCTCGTGAAAAGCTAAACGATCAAAGGTTCCTGTAGTAGACTCCCACGCGAAAAAGGCGCCCACGTCAAAAGCGGCTAAGACCGATCGTCTTTCACCTCTAGTAAACGGCAGGCTAACTATTGCCGACAGGGCAGCCGAAAAATAAATTGACGCTCAAGTAATTGTTATAAATATTATTGCATAATTTATGAGCGGTGGCTTAGACCGTACCATTATTTATGATACCAGATTACTATTCCACACTCATAATTTATGATACTATCTCACGAACGGTGCGGAAGACGGCGGCGAGGATCCAGAGGGCTCGTTTGTCCAGCGTCTCGAGAAGCGTCGCCGGCTCGAGGCGCGAACGCCCCGCTACGACCTCATCTCCAGCATCCCGCCGACCTCGAACAAGGTCGAGCGGTTTTCAGCGTGGCGCGTACCACGTTTGCTCAAGAGCGCAACAGTCTCCAGTCCGCTACGCTGGAAACAATTTTGTTTCTGCGTGAGAATGGTGACTTCTGGGACGTTTCGACAGTCGATAGCGTCAATTAGTGTGAGTAACAGTACGTCTAATACCCCGTTGAAGTTGCACCACATTATTTATTTATTGCTCGAATACATTACATAATTTATGCAGATACAAATGACAAGATCCTGGCATTATTTATGAGGCTCTATCTGCGCTAATAAATGACAATACCATATTCGGCAGCCCTGCTCGCGGTACATGTGGATTTTTGCGTTATCTAGGATAACAATGGACCTGAAAAACAAAATGAAAACTATAGCGAGTCACAGCATCTAACCACTGCTTGCAAGTACCTCGGGAGCGGCCATGGATTAATGTACGGAGCATTTTTTTGTTCTGAAAGCCTCGTGAAAAGCTAAACGATCAAAGGTTCCTGTAGTAGACTCCCACGCGAAAAAGGCGCCCACGTCAAAAGCGGCTAAGACCGATCGTCTTTCACCTCTAGTAAACGGCAGGCTAACTATTGCCGGCAGGGCAGCCGAAAAATAAATTGACGCTCAAGTAATTGTTATAAATATTATTGCATAATTTATGAGCGGTGGCTTAGACCGTACCATTATTTATGATACCAGATTACTATTCCACACTCATAATTTATGATACTATCTCACGAACGGTGCGGAAGACGGCGGCGAGGATCCAGAGGGCTCGTTTGTCCAGCGTCTCGAGAAGCGTCGCCGGCTCGAGGCGCGAACGCCCCGCTACGACCTCATCTCCAGCATCCCGCCGACCTCGAACAAGGTCGAGCGGTTTTCAGCGTGGCGCGTACCACGTTTGCTCAACTTCTGGGACGTTTCGACAGTCGATAGCGTCAATTAGTGTGAGTAACAGTACGTCTAATACCCGTTGAAGTTGCACCACATTATTTATTTATTGCTCGAATACATTACATAATTTATGCAGATACAAATGACAAGATCCTGGCATTATTTATGAGGCTCTATCTGCGCTAATAAATGACAATACCATATTCAGCAGCCCTGCTCGCGGTACATGTGGATTTTTGCGTTATCTAGGATAACAATGGACCTGAAAAACAAAATGAAAACTATAGCGAGTCGCAGCATCTAACCACTGCTTGCAAGTACCTCGGGAGCGGCCATGGATTAATGTACGGAGCATTTTTTTGTTCTGAAAGCCTCGTGAAAAGCTAAACGATCAAAGGTTCCTGTAGTAGACTCCCACGCGAAAAAGGCGCCCACGTCAAAAGCGGCTAAGACCGATCGTCTTTCACCTCTAGTAAACGGCAGGCTAACTATTGCCGGCAGGGCAGCCGAAAAATAAATTGACGCTCAAGTAATTGTTATAAATATTATTGCATAATTTATGAGCGGTGGCTTAGACCGTACCATTATTTATGATACCAGATTACTATTCCACACTCATAATTTATGATACTATCTCACGAACGGTGCGGAAGACGGCGGCGAGGATCCAGAGGGCTCGTTTGTCCAGCGTCTCGAGAAGCGTCGCCGGCTCGAGGCGCGAACGCCCCGCTACGACCTCATCTCCAGCATCCCGCCGACCTCGAACAAGGTCGAGCGGTTTTCAGCGTGGCGCGTACCACGTTTGCTCAAGAGCGCAACAGTCTCCAGTCCGCTACGCTGGAAACAATTTTGTTTCTGCGTGAGAATGGTGACTTCTGGGACGTTTCGACAGTCGATAGCGTCAATTAGTGTGAGTAACAGTACGTCTAATACCCGTTGAAGTTGCACCACATTATTTATTTATTGCTCGAATACATTACATAATTTATGCAGATACAAATGACAAGATCCTGGCATTATTTATGAGGCTCTATCTGCGCTAATAAATGACAATACCATATTCGGCAGCCCTGCTCGCGGTACATGTGGATTTTTGCGTTATCTAGGATAACAATGGACCTGAAAAACAAAATGAAAACTATAGCGAGTCGCAGCATCTAACCACTGCTTGCAAGTACCTCGGGAGCGGCCATGGATTAATGTACGGAGCATTTTTTTGTTCTGAAAGCCTCGTGAAAAGCTAAACGATCAAAGGTTCCTGTAGTAGACTCCCACGCGAAAAAGGCGCCCACGTCAAAAGCGGCTAAGACCGATCGTCTTTCACCTCTAGTAAACGGCAGGCTAACTATTGCCGGCAGGGCAGCCGAAAAATAAATTGACGCTCAAGTAATTGTTATAAATATTATTGCATAATTTATGAGCGGTGGCTTAGACCGTACCATTATTTATGATACCAGATTACTATTCCACACTCATAATTTATGATACTATCTCACGAACGGTGCGGAAGACGGCGGCGAGGATCCAGAGGGCTCGTTTGTCCAGCGTCTCGAGAAGCGTCGCCGGCTCGAGGCGCGAACGCCCCGCTACGACCTCATCTCCAGCATCCCGCCGACCTCGAACAAGGTCGAGCGGTTTTCAGCGTGGCGCGTACCACGTTTGCTCAAGAGCGCAACAGTCTCCAGTCCGCTACGCTGGAAACAATTTTGTTTCTGCGTGAGAATGGTGACTTCTGGGACGTTTCGACAGTCGATAGCGTCAATTAGTGTGAGTAACAGTACGTCTAATACCCGTTGAAGTTGCACCACATTATTTATTTATTGCTCGAATACATTACATAATTTATGCAGATACAAATGACAAGATCCTGGCATTATTTATGAGGCTCTATCTGCGCTAATAAATGAAAATACCATATTCGGCAGCCCTGCTCGCGGTACATGTGGATTTTTGCGTTATCTAGGATAACAATGGACCTGAAAAACAAAATGAAAACTATAGCGAGTCACAGCATCGAACCACTGCTTGCAAGTACCTCGGGAGCGGCCATGGATTAATGTACGGAGCATTTTTTGTTCTGAAAGCCTCGTGAAAAGCTAAACGATCAAAGGTTCCTGTAGTAGACTCCCACGCGAAAAAGGCGCCCACGTCAAAAGCGGCTAAGACCGATCGTCTTTCACCTCTAGTAAACGACAGGCTAACTATTGCCGGCAGGGCAGCCAAAAAATAAATTGACGCTCAAGTAATTGTTATAAATATTATTGCATAATTTATGAGCGGTGGCTTAGACCGTACCATTATTTATGATACCAGATTACTATTCCACACTCATAATTTATGATACTATCTCACGAACGGTGCGGAAGACGGCGGCGAGGATCCAGAGGGCTCGTTTGTCCAGCGTCTCGAGAAGCGTCGCCGGCTCGAGGCGCGAACGCCCCGCTACGACCTCATCTCCAGCATCCCGCCGACCTCGAACAAGGTCGAGCGGTTTTCAGCGTGGCGCGTACCACGTTTGCTCAAGAGCGCAACAGTCTCCAGTCCGCTACGCTGGAAACAATTTTGTTTCTGCGTGAGAATGGTGACTTCTGGGACGTTTCGACAGTCGATAGCGTCAATTAGTGTGAGTAACAGTACGTCTAATACCCGTTGAAGTTGCACCACATTATTTATTTATTGCTCGAATACATTACATAATTTATGCAGATACAAATGACAAGATCCTGGCATTATTTATGAGGCTCTATCTGCGCTAATAAATGACAATACCATATTCGGCAGCCCTGCTCGCGGTACATGTGGATTTTTGCGTTATCTAGGATAACAATGGACCTGAAAAACAAAATGAAAACTATAGCGAGTCGCAGCATCGAACCACTGCTTGCAAGTACCTCGGGAGCGGCCATGGATTAATGTACGGAGCATTTTTTTGTTCTGAAAGCCTCGTGAAAAGCTAAACGATCAAAGGTTCCTGTAGTAGACTCCCACGCGAAAAAGGCGCCCACGTCAAAAGCGGCTAAGACCGATCGTCTTTCACCTCTAGTAAACGGCAGGCTAACTATTGCCGGCAGGGCAGCCGAAAAATAAATTGACGCTCAAGTAATTGTTATAAATATTATTGCATAATTTATGAGCGGTGGCTTAGACCGTACCATTATTTATGATACCAGATTACTATTCCACACTCATAATTTATGATACTATCTCACGAACGGTGCGGAAGACGGCGGCGAGGATCCAGAGGGCTCGTTTGTCCAGCGTCTCGAGAAGCGTCGCCGGCTCGAGGCGCGAACGCCCCGCTACGACCTCATCTCCAGCATCCCGCCGACCTCGAACAAGGTCGAGCGGTTTTCAGCGTGGCGCGTACCACGTTTGCTCAAGAGCGCAACAGTCTCCAGTCCGCTACGCTGGAAACAATTTTGTTTCTGCGTGAGAATGGTGACTTCTGGGACGTTTCGACAGTCGATAGCGTCAATTAGTGTGAGTAACAGTACGTCTAATACCCCGTTGAAGTTGCACCACATTATTTATTTATTGCTCGAATACATTACATAATTTATGCAGATACAAATGACAAGATCCTGGCATTATTTATGAGGCTCTATCTGCGCTAATAAATGACAATACATATTCGGCAGCCCTGCTCGCGGTACATGTGGATTTTTGCGTTATCTAGGATAACAATGGACCTGAAAAACAAAATGAAAACTATAGCGAGTCACAGCATCGAACCACTGCTTGCAAGTACCTCGGGAGCGGCCATGGATTAATGTACGGAGCATTTTTTTGTTCTGAAAGCCTCGTGAAAAGCTAAACGATCAAAGGTTCCTGTAGTAGACTCCCACGCGAAAAAGGCGCCCACGTCAAAAGCGGCTAAGACCGATCGTCTTTCACCTCTAGTAAACGGCAGGCTAACTATTGCCGGCAGGGCAGCCGAAAAATAAATTGACGCTCAAGTAATTGTTATAAATATTATTGCATAATTTATGAGCGGTGGCTTAGACCGTACCATTATTTATGATACCAGATTACTATTCCACACTCATAATTTATGATACTATCTCACGAACGGTGCGGAAGACGGCGGCGAGGATCCAGAGGGCTCGTTTGTCCAGCGTCTCGAGAAGCGTCGCCGGCTCGAGGCGCGAACGCCCCGCTACGACCTCATCTCCAGCATCCCGCCGACCTCGAACAAGGTCGAGCGGTTTTCAGCGTGGCGCGTACCACGTTTGCTCAAGAGCGCAACAGTCTCCAGTCCGCTACGCTGGAAACAATTTTGTTTCTGCGTGAGAATGGTGACTTCTGGGACGTTTCGACAGTCGATAGCGTCAATTAGTGTGAGAAACAGTACGTCTAATACCCCGTTGAAGTTGCACCACATTATTTATTTATTGCTCGAATACATTACATAATTTATGCAGATACAAATGACAAGATCCTGGCATTATTTATGAGGCTCTATCTGCGCTAATAAATGACAATACATATTCGGCAGCCCTGCTCGCGGTACATGTGGATTTTTGCGTTATCTAGGATAACAATGGACCTGAAAAACAAAATGAAAACTATAGCGAGTCGCAGCATCGAACCACTGCTTGCAAGTACCTCGGGAGCGGCCATGGATTAATGTACGGAGCATTTTTTTGTTCTGAAAGCCTCGTGAAAAGCTAAACGATCAAAGGTTCCTGTAGTAGACTCCCACGCGAAAAAGGCGCCCACGTCAAAAGCGGCTAAGACCGATCGTCTTTCACCTCTAGTAAACGGCAGGCTAACTATTGCCGGCAGGGCAGCCGAAAAATAAATTGACGCTCAAGTAATTGTTATAAATATTATTGCATAATTTATGAGCGGTGGCTTAGACCGTACCATTATTTATGATACCAGATTACTATTCCACACTCATAATTTATGATACTATCTCACGAACGGTGCGGAAGACGGCGGCGAGGATCCAGAGGGCTCGTTTGTCCAGCGTCTCGAGAAGCGTCGCCGGCTCGAGGCGCGAACGCCCCGCTACGACCTCATCTCCAGCATCCCGCCGACCTCGAACAAGGTCGAGCGGTTTTCAGCGTGGCGCGTACCACGTTTGCTCAAGAGCGCAACAGTCTCCAGTCCGCTACGCTGGAAACAATTTTGTTTCTGCGTGAGAATGGTGACTTCTGGGACGTTTCGACAGTCGATAGCGTCAATTAGTGTGAGTAACAGTACGTCTAATACCCCGTTGAAGTTGCACCACATTATTTATTTATTGCTCGAATACATTACATAATTTATGCAGATACAAATGACAAGATCCTGGCATTATTTATGAGGCTCTATCTGCGCTAATAAATGACAATACCATATTCGGCAGCCCTGCTCGCGGTACATGTGGATTTTTGCGTTATCTAGGATAACAATGGACCTGAAAAACAAAATGAAAACTATAGCGAGTCGCAGCATCTAACCACTGCTTGCAAGTACCTCGGGAGCGGCCATGGATTAATGTACGGAGCATTTTTTTGTTCTGAAAGCCTCGTGAAAAGCTAAACGATCAAAGGTTCCTGTAGTAGACTCCCACGTGAAAAGGCGCACACGTCAAAAGCGGCTAAGACCGATCGTCTTTCACCTCTAGTAAACGGCAGGCTAACTATTGCCGGCAGGGCAGCCGAAAAATAAATTGACGCTCAAGTAATTGTTATAAATATTATTGCATAATTTATGAGCGGTGGCTTAGACCGTACCATTATTTATGATACCAGATTACTATTCCACACTCATAATTTATGATACTATCTCACGAACGGTGCGGAAGACGGCGGCGAGGATCCAGAGGGCTCGTTTGTCCAGCGTCTCGAGAAGCGTCGCCGGCTCGAGGCGCGAACGCCCCGCTACGACCTCATCTCCAGCATCCCGCCGACCTCGAACAAGGTCGAGCGGTTTTCAGCGTGGCGCGTACCACGTTTGCTCAAGAGCGCAACAGTCTCCAGTCCGCTACGCTGGAAACAATTTTGTTTCTGCGTGAGAATGGTGACTTCTGGGACGTTTCGACAGTCGATAGCGTCAATTAGTGTGAGTAACAGTACGTCTAATACCCCGTTGAAGTTGCACCACATTATTTATTTATTGCTCGAATACATTACATAATTTATGCAGATACAAATGACAAGATCCTGGCATTATTTATGAGGCTCTATCTGCGCTAATAAATGACAATACCATATTCAGCAGCCCTGCTCGCGGTACATGTGGATTTTTGCGTTATCTAGGATAACAATGGACCTGAAAAACAAAATGAAAACTATAGCGAGTCGCAGCATCGAACCACTGCTTGCAAGTACCTCGGGAGCGGCCATGGATTAATGTACGGAGCATTTTTTTGTTCTGAAAGCCTCGTGAAAAGCTAAACGATCAAAGGTTCCTGTAGTAGACTCCCACGCGAAAAAGGCGCCCACGTCAAAAGCGGCTAAGACCGATCGTCTTTCACCTCTAGTAAACGGCAGGCTAACTATTGCCGGCAGGGCAGCCGAAAAATAAATTGACGCTCAAGTAATTGTTATAAATATTATTGCATAATTTATGAGCGGTGGCTTAGACCGTACCATTATTTATGATACCAGATTACTATTCCACACTCATAATTTATGATACTATCTCACGAACGGTGCGGAAGACGGCGGCGAGGATCCAGAGGGCTCGTTTGTCCAGCGTCTCGAGAAGCGTCGCCGGCTCGAGGCGCGAACGCCCCGCTACGACCTCATCTCCAGCATCCCGCCGACCTCGAACAAGGTCGAGCGGTTTTCAGCGTGGCGCGTACCACGTTTGCTCAAGAGCGCAACAGTCTCCAGTCCGCTACGCTGGAAACAATTTTGTTTCTGCGTGAGAATGGTGACTTCTGGGACGTTTCGACAGTCGATAGCGTCAATTAGTGTGAGTAACAGTACGTCTAATACCCGTTGAAGTTGCACCACATTATTTATTTATTGCTCAAATACATTACATAATTTATGCAGATACAAATGACAAGATCCTGGCATTATTTATGAGGCTCTATCTGCGCTAATAAATAAAAATACCATATTCGGCAGCCCTGCTCGCGGTACATGTGGATTTTTGCGTTATCTAGGATAACAATGGACCTGAAAAACAAAATGAAAACTATAGCGAGTCGCAGCATCGAACCACTGCTTGCAAGTACCTCGGGAGCGGCCATGGATTAATGTACGGAGCATTTTTTTGTTCTGAAAGCCTCGTGAAAAGCTAAACGATCAAAGGTTCCTGTAGTAGACTCCCACGCGAAAAAGGCGCCCACGTCAAAAGCGGCTAAGACCGATCGTCTTTCACCTCTAGTAAACGGCAGGCTAACTATTGCCGGCAGGGCAGCCGAAAAATAAATTGACGCTCAAGTAATTGTTATAAATATTATTGCATAATTTATGAGCGGTGGCTTAGACCGTACCATTATTTATGATACCAGATTACTATTCCACACTCATAATTTATGATACTATCTCACGAACGGTGCGGAAGACGGCGGCGAGGATCCAGAGGGCTCGTTTGTCCAGCGTCTCGAGAAGCGTCGCCGGCTCGAGGCGCGAACGCCCCGCTACGACCTCATCTCCAGCATCCCGCCGACCTCGAACAAGGTCGAGCGGTTTTCAGCGTGGCGCGTACCACGTTTGCTCAAGAGCGCAACAGTCTCCAGTCCGCTACGCTGGAAACAATTTTGTTTCTGCGTGAGAATGGTGACTTCTGGGACGTTTCGACAGTCGATAGCGTCAATTAGTGTGAGTAACAGTACGTCTAATACCCGTTGAAGTTGCACCACATTATTTATTTATTGCTCGAATACATTACATAATTTATGCAGATACAAATGACAAGATCCTGGCATTATTTATGAGGCTCTATCTGCGCTAATAAATGACAATACCATATTCGGCAGCCCTGCTCGCGGTACATGTGGATTTTTGCGTTATCTAGGATAACAATGGACCTGAAAAACAAAATGAAAACTATAGCGAGTCGCAGCATCTAACCACTGCTTGCAAGTACCTCGGGAGCGGCCATGGATTAATGTACGGAGCATTTTTTTGTTCTGAAAGCCTCGTGAAAAGCTAAACGATCAAAGGTTCCTGTAGTAGACTCCCACGCGAAAAAGGCGCCCACGTCAAAAGCGGCTAAGACCGATCGTCTTT